TGTTGCAATGCTTTATGTCTTGCTGTTTAGTCATGTCCGACTCTTTGTGACCCCATGGACCAGAGCACGCCAGGCACTTCTGTCTTCCACTGCCTCCCGCAGTTTGGTCAGACTCATGCTGGTAGCTTCAAGAACACTGTCCAACCATCTCGTCCTCTGTCGTCCCCTTCTCCTTGTGCCCTCCATCTTTCCCAACATCAGGGTCTTTTCCAGGGTGTCTTCTCTTCTCATGAGGTGGCCAAAGTATTGGAGCCTCAGCTTCACGATCTGTCCTTCCAGCGAGCACTCAGGGCTGATTTCCTTCAGAATGGATAGGTTTGATCTTCTTGCAGTCCATTGGACTCTTAGGTCTCCTCCAGCACCATAATTCAAAACCATCATTTCTTCAGCCATCAGCCTTCTTTATGGTTCAGCTCTCACTTCCATACATCCCTACTGGGAAAACCATAGCTTTAGCTATACGGACCTTTGTTGGCAAGGTGATGTCTCTGCTTTTTAGGATGCTGTCTAGGTTTGCCATTGCCTTTCTCCCAAGGAGCAGGCGTCTTTTAATTCCGTGGCTGCTGTCACCATCTGCAGTGATCATGGAACCCAAGAAAGCAAAATCTCTCACTGCCTCCATTTCTTCCCCTTCTATTTGCCAGGAGGTGATGGGACCAGTGGCCATGATCTTAGTTTTTTTGATGTTGAGCTTCAGACCATATTTTGCACTCTCCTCTTTATGTCTACTGTTGCAGAAATACATCCCTAAAGGGGAAAAGCAGAAGCACCACACAGACAAGACCAGTAAAAGCTCTTCTTACCTAGGTAATAACCCCAGCATAGGTGGTGATGAATAGTGTCAGCTCTTAATTAAAACTGTCAGCTGGTATTTGTGTTACGTCAATAGTCCCCCCCCCAACTTTCTCATAAACTGGTATTCAGAAGAATACTGCTTCTGACCATGGAGGCAGCACATAGCCTCTTAAATGGCTAATAGCTCCTTTAACAACTGGATGCCAGGCATGGTGTTTTAACAGGACATTTAACTACAACTCAGGGAAAATGTCTCCTGACATGTGGCTGTTGAAGGCAAACCAGCACACAACATAATTCTCCAGGTCTAATCAGGAAGATTTCCCATTATTGTTCATTAGTCTGAATAAAAAAAAGCTTCATTTTAATCAGCACTCTATAGACCATAAGTGTTTTTGTTTAAGCATCTTAAATTAGTATTTTGATTGAGGCTACAATGCTAAACATACTTACTTGGAATAAAACTGAAATCAGCAACTTGCATCTGAGAAAATATGTTTTGGGTGAGTGCAATAATAGGAAAGAAAGCTCTAATCTATGCTTGGAAAGTTATAATATGTGAAACAAAGCTTCTTTCCCCAGCCAAATATATAGTTTTGCTCCTCCCAGCCCAACACACACATTAGAGTGAAGACATGAGGCAGAGTTATGATTATAAAGTGTCTTGACTGTGTGGTGGGCTGGATGAGGGTCTATAAACTGAAACCAAATCCTGTCAAGAAAGAGGCCCTGTAGGTGAGTGGTTCCACAGTCTAGTATATAAGCCGATTACCCATTCTGGAGGGGGTTACACTCCCTCTAAAGGGATAAGTACATAGTTTGGGAGTAATTCACAACCCATTGTTTTCCTTGGGTGCTCAAGTGGCCTCAGGGGCTAGAGCTGCTTTTTACCAGCTTCAGCTGATATGCAAGCGATGACCATTCCTGGAAAGAGATAGCTTGTCTACAGTGGCCCATGCACAGGCGGCCTTGACAATGGATTATTTCAATGTACTCTATGTTGGGCTTGAAAAGAATTGATGCTTTTGAATTCTGGTGCTGGAGGAGACTCTTGAGAGTCCCATGGACTGCAAGAAGATCAAACCTCTCCTTTCTGAAGGAAATCAGCCCTGAGTGCCCACTGGAAGGACAGATCGTGAAGCTGAGGCTCCAATACTTTGGTCACCTCATGAGAAGAGAAGACTCCCTGGAAAAGACCCTGATGTTGGGTAAGATGGAGGGCACAAGGAGAAGGGGACGACAGAGGACGAGATGGTTGGATGGTGTTCTCGAAGCTACCAGCAGGAGTTTGACCAAACTGCGGGAGGCAGTGGAGGACAGAAGTGCCTGGCGTGCTCTGGTCCATGGGGTCACGAAGAGTCGGCCACGACTAAACAACAACAATGTTGGGCTACCTTTATGTCCAGAAGCTGCAGCTAGTGCAGAACTGGACAATGCCACTTGTGGCTGGCACTGCCTTCTGTCAGCACACGACACTGGCACTGAGGAAACTGCACTGGTTGCTATGATATCTCTAAATATTTCCTGGTTTGTACATATTTCAAATAAATCTAAAGGGGCCATGCACACTAACTTGGTGATCTGCACCAAACATTGACAAATGTAACTATCCTGAAAGATGACATAGGAACAGCCTCCCTGCTTTCTGCCTGAAGTATACTGCCCTGGCTCAGAAGAGCCAGATAGAAGAGTACCAATCCATGCCTTTCATCACTTACTCACCAAAAGGAGTCCCCCACTGGTTGAGTTGATCTGTATTTAGGGGCACAAGGGCTCCAGCACCCAAAGGGCACACTCTTCCCACATCCTCTTGCACCAGCTGGCAATGAGAAGTAGGTTAGGTGACTGCCCCTTCACCTTCCAGGTGCTTCAGGACAGCCATAGTCAATGCCAGGAATGATGGGAGTTGTGGTCTGTCCCTGCACTAGAGAAACATTCATTCCCCACCTCTGCACAAGATGAATGTCTCTTTTAAAATGCCATTGGGGGCGGAGAAAAAAATATAACCAATTCCCAGGAATGTCTGTGTTACCAAACCCTAACAAATTCTTGTGGAAGGATAACACAAACAACTTCTGAGCACTTAATATCATGGATGTCTTCGCTTTTTTGGTACTCATGCTCCAGAGCAGGAGTCATAATAAATAACCACTTGCACTGACATGACAGATCTTAACAGCTCTGCTTGACAGTAAGCAACAACATCTGCTCTGGGGAAATGGTTAGAATATATCATCCAGACCTTTCTCTTGACTTTGTTTTAGTTTCACTGGAGCAGGATCACAAGATAAGGGTATAGTGCATGACTCTTCAACTCAACAGCAAAGGCAACTAGCTTTGAAAGTGCATTGACAGCATTTATAGTAATAACATTAGATGAAAATGGTAATCTGATTCTTGGCCTAGCAGAAAGTCAGGAAGATCTGTGTGATGCTTGCTAGCAAATACTAACTAGATAGTGCTATAAGCACTTGAGGGCTTATCCTAAAAGCCACAAGATTGTACACAAACACCACGCTATGAAAATGTTTCTCAAAAAGCGGAATGTATCCCAATTGCTACAAGTAGTGCAAAAAGGCCCTGTCTTCTAAAACAGGAAAGCAAGCCGTGATCATGCCTAGAGCAGGCTGGTAGAAGCAGTTTGGCTACAGACTCAGGATCTTTTGTTTACTGGGAGTCCAGGCTTGTTCCATAAATACATGGCAGGTAGGAACTTCATTGTGTGGCCTGAATTATCCACATCAGAAAAGCAGTGAGGTAAAAGTTTGCAGAAGAGTAGGAGTTAAACATGAATTGAAATCCCTTTGTCTGTGTATACAAACTCGATTAACTAAGGGTGAAGTCAGCTGTATCATAAAAGGTAGGCTCAGTGAACTGTAAGCACAGTTCACCACTGAACAGATGGACAGACTCACCAGCCAATAGAACAGTGGTTCAGAGAAAGATCTTGCCCTTCCCTGCCCATCTTTCTACTTACTCTTTTGCTTACGAACGCTCCTGCTGCCTCCTCCTTCTCTTTCTACAGCAACAGGGAAAGGTTCAGCGCCCTGAAGTCAGATGCCTACAATGGAGCCAACACTGCCTTCCTCCCATTTGAAGCACCTGGCAGCGGTGCGCTTCACTACAGGGGTCACCAATGTGAGGCCCATGGTTGCACATGCAGCCACAGACACCTTTCCTCTGCCCTTCGCCAACTGAAATAAGACCTGGAAGAGGCATTCTGTTGTAGCCAGTAGCAAAAGAGGTGTGTGTGATTGATTGAGTGGTGAGTGAGTGAGTGAGTGAAGGTGCTGTGTTTGTGTGGTGCCCATGAAAGTTTACTTACTGCAAATGCAGCCTAAAATCATGGTGACAACCATATTGCCAGAATATTGATTAATATCAATTAAATGTACTTTCCCAAAGAGACAGAGCAGTGGTGGGCAATCTCCAGCCAACAGGCTAAATTAGCCCTGTCTGTCCTTCCTATTTCTCTCAAGTTAAGCTCCAGTCAACATGAGTGAAAGAAATAATCAGCTCCAACTTAGCAACCTGCCAAGAGCATTTGCTAACAAATCCCAGAAGCCAGAGTTGGGGAACTTCTGTACATGATGGGAAGTAGCGCTGGTTATTTTAAAATATTGTCTTTCCCTTGCACATTACGAACAAGGCTTATTTCTCTTGTGTTTAATTATGTTGGTATCATTATTATGCACGCTATTGACTTTTTATTAGGTTTGCGAATCTGTCAATTTCAGTTTCTCTCAGTTTATTGCTGCATCAGCTTGTGATTCCCACTCCCACCCCCATTTAAAAAGTCCTCGGGAATATTTACCAGCATTTTCATTTCTCCTAATATCCACATTTTTGTTTGCAATTTTGCCTAATACACACATTTTTGCAAAGCCATTCTTTCTAAAGCAATGCATTTTCTGTGTTATTTTCACTTTATGCATTTTAATGCAAACCTTACCTTAATACAATATAAGGATTTTTGTACACATTACTTGGTGAGAGAACTGCATTGCAACATTCAGAGAAGTGTGAATTTCGAATGATGGCAGTATTTCAATTTGCATCTTGCTCCAGAAAGTATGAATGTGGTAGATTTGCCTTTATAGGTTCTGAATCTAATTTCTCCTCCAGCTCTGTTTTTATATAGCACAAAACTATCACCCAAATTTCTGGGTTTTCCGTAGAAAGTCAGAAAGAATCCATGCACTTACAGCCAGAGAGAATTCCTTCCTTGCGTGATAACTCCTGTGAACTTTGTTAGCCTCCGAGCATCGACTTCAATCCACTGGTACGGATCATTTCGTCCTGCACACCAAGCACCATCATAAAAATCATTTTCATTAACACCTGCCTGAAAAGAAGGCAAAGCTGTCTTTATAAATATGAATAGATACATTTCGAATTGTTGTTGTTTTTTAAAAAATACACAAACAATGAGAACATGAAAATATTGTTTACTCTCACTTCATTTTTTGTCAAGACTGATAAGTCAAGGCTGGGAACATGGAGCCATGTTTAAGATAGTTGTCAAGACTGGAGAGTTAGAACTGCCTTTTTCTCACATTTTTCAAAGTTAAATTCAGTTTTCTGTATTTTCTCAGCAACTCGCTTTTTTAAAAAAAAGGGGGGAAAGAAAAATCCTGATTAAAATCTGCCAGTATTTTAGTGCTAATTTATCCCAATAAACACATTTTTGTACACATTATACACATTTTTGCAAGCATTCTCCTTTCCCTAGACACACATTTCTGCCTATCTTTTCCGGTTAATGAGTTAGCAGTAAAAGCCCCATGCTATACCCTTAGACTTAAAAGAATCAGAACAACAATAATAAATTTGTGGGATGCAAAACAGAAATGAGAACAGAATTATGTAAGCCGGTCAATACATTCTTCAGATGGCTTGGACTACAATTCCATCATCCCTGACCAGTGGCCATACTGGCTGGGACTGATGGAAGATATAGTTCAACAACACATAGTAAAGGGCACCAGGTTGAAGAAGGCTGAGGCACAGGCAGCTATCATGCACTATGGATGGTGCATCTCTGTTTACCTGGAGCTCTTTTAATCTAATGTTGTATTGGACAATTATGCAAAAAAACTAGGCATCTTTGGAGTGCTTAGAGGATCCCTGCAAATCTAAAGCATGCAGAGCTGTTGCTACCATGCATTGTGCAATATCCTGAGCTTTCTTAACAATAAACTAGAGTCTGCCCCCCCCAAAAAAATACATCTTCATTGACCCACAATCCCAGTCTAGCCGTAGCTAGACTGGTGACTGGGAGAGGCCGCCGAGACCACATAACATCGGTCTTGAAAGACCTACATTGGCTTCCAGTACATTTTTGGGCACAATTCAAAGTGTTGGTGCTCACTTTTAAAGCCCTAAACGGCCTCGGTCCAGTATACCTGAAGGAGCATCTTCACCCCCATCGTTCAGCCTGGACACTGAGGTCCTCCACTGAGGGTCTTCTGGCAGTACCCTCATTCTGAGAAGCCAAGTTACAGGGAACCAGGCAGAGGTCCTTCTCGGTAGTGGCACCCGCCCTGTGGAACACCCTCCCACCAGATGTCAAAGAGAAAAACAACTACCAGACTTTTAGAAGACATCTGAAGGCAGCGCTGTTTAGGGAAGCTTTTAATGTTTAATAGACTATTGTATTTTAATATTCTGTTGGAAGCCGCCCAGAGTGACTGGGGAAACCCAGTCTATTATCATCATCATCATCATCATCTCTGCATGGCTCAAGGTGTCATCAAAACCACAATGCTCCTCTGATAGGCAGGACAGTTCTAAAGGAAGCTTAAAGCGAGAAGTTTAAAGCATTGCACAATCTCTGATGGCATGGAATTGTGATGATTGAAACAATCCCAATTAGCTCCTCAGATGATTTGATGCAGGGGTTTTCAGGTGCTACCAAGCTTCTAATCAAGCCAGATGTCTTTGCTCCACAAACACTCAGCAAAATTACACGTTTCTTGCTGTCATCGTCAATATAATTAGCAAAGAAGAACTAAGGATGTCTCTCAGCATACTGCAACTGGTCCTCCTAATCAGCCAACTCAGTGGCTCACTCTCCCTTCTTCGTACGTATATTGGGTATCTGGCATCTGGGGACAACACTCCATACATATGGCTAAGTGGGCTCTGGGAGCACATGAAAGCTGGTGTCACAATACATTTGCTGGCCTTTAATGTGCTACCAGGCTCTTTGTTCTTTTTACAAATGCTGTGTATTTGATTTTAAATTTTGCTGACAATCGTAGAGTGAAAGACTTAAAGATGGTTTCCTTTATGTACACAAGTTTCCTGTACATTGTAATCATGTTTATGCGATGAGTTTGAGTGATTTCTTCTTTGGGCAATATTATTACACTTTTCCTAAGCTTCTAAAATAGCAGCTATCATAAAGTGGCAAAACTGGCAAGGACAAACCTAAGGGAATGGAAAATCTAGAAATGTCGTCCCCCCCCCCCCCCCCAGTTTGAAGTGACTTGGAAATGATTGATTTGAGACCAGAATGATCTTAAATGGAAAGGATAAAGAAAAGAGTAGCAAAAAACCTCCCATTGACACAAACTGTCAGTCATGGTGCACCACATGAATTATGAGATCAGAATTATGAGATTAGCACCTGGTTATCTGGCTGCCACATAGCAGGAAGAGTGGGACTCTAGCATTACCGGGCATGTCCATTGCAGATAAAGTTATATCACAGAAAATAGGCAATGTCTGGACAGGAAAAGCCAAACAGATAAACTCAAATGATTAAACACTGTCATGGATTAAACACTGCTCCTGAGTGATGGGATTTAATATATATATATATAGAGAGAGAGAGAGAGAGAGAGAGACTGATAAAACTAGAAGTCAGAAGCAACAGAGACTGCTGAACAGAGACTGGATGAAATCTCTATCCTATGGGAAATGATAGTGTTGTGGCTAATGGCTTTCAAAAAGACACATGAATTTTGACCACACACAGGTCAAGTCTAGGATGTGAATGTTTCAGTAGGCTTTGATTTGAGGATCCTCATTCTAAAAAGTGACTTAAAGCTGAGACGTCCACATGACGGTGGAGTTAACCCCCCTGTAGCTTATTACAGCATATGTGGGCTACACAGAGTCTCGAAGTTTTTATCAGTAGCTATATTGGTATTGCCATTATTATGGGAGTACACTTTGGAACCAGAAAACCTGTATAACTTTAAATCTCATGCCAAAAGCAATTTTTAAAAAAATTCCCCAATATCATTCTAATAATAGCCTCATTATAACAGTACCATTTTTATCCAATTAGTATAATTATTAATGTCAATTATTCAAATATCAAATTATACAATTTAATTAAACTGACCCCCTCACATACTAGAGTTGATGAGTTCATTCTTCTACATTTTTTCTGCATTCCAAAATTTTAATAATTCCATTCCATTCCATTCAGATAGGAACAGCTACAATCTTGTGATTTCAATTCATGTTGGTATAATAGGTAATTTATGAAGTTTCAAGTGAGGAACTTTAGCTGTAATCCTTATTCTTTCCTGTGTGTGACAATTTTTTTCATGATGTTTTCCCATCCATATATAATGTTGTATCCTTTACTCTCACAGCTGGTAGACTCCTTTCCTCCCTGCCGCTCATTTATGGCCATTTATCTCAAACACATTCCTTTGTGGATAATGGAGGTTAGGGATTTTGCTCTATATTTTCAAAGAATAGCATTTCTTCCCCCCTTCCCTCTCAGTTCCTTTCTCTCTCACACACAGTTCCAGTTTTGTTAAAATCCATACAATATTCCAATTTTCTCCATCCTCACTTGTGCAGATATTATTTAATAAAACTTGCATTCTGGGGGGCGTTCTGTCATATCATAAATGTCAAGAAAAACCTTAAGTAAGCAAACCATGGGCTCCCCTCACCACATCGTCTCTTTCACCAAATGAAATCCGCTCTCAATCCAAACCTTTCATATCCTTGTAGCTGGGTTGTTTTTGCAGTTTCTTATCTCATTGTCTCGGGCACGTGCCTGTAGGTTACTCCAATTAAAGTCCAATTAACAGGATGACCTGTGCTTCCAAGAACGGGAGCAGGCTGGGGGTGAGGGTCGTGGCAGCCAGAGTGCTCCTTGCACCCAGTGCCTTTGCCTGCCCTCACATTCCATGGGGAACTGAGTGCCAGACCACTAGGCAAACTGTGGGTGAGAGACTGGTTCCTCTTCCAACCCTATCATTATCTGATTATCTCCATCTGTCTCTCTCCCATGTTAGTAAGAGAAACTCTGTTCTTAGCACACAGGAAGCCAAGAGCAACTTGCTTAACTTTTGTAAACCTCCCTGCTGATAGTTCCCAAAGTCATTTTTTATCATCTGTGTTAAATTTTCTTTTGGACATTAATGCCAGAACATTCAGAGTAAAGAAACAAAATTAACTAGCATATATTCTTTAAAACAAACAAAACATGTTAGCCATCAGTATGGTCAAAATCTGTAAGTGTACTTTGGGGGAAATTGCAGAGTAATCCCAGCCTCTTGACCCGTTGGAAAGGTGAACTTACCTGAATATTTAGCCGTGCTCTGTGGGCCCCAAGGCCATATCGCTTTACAGTAGAAGCATGGAGCTGGAAGTCAGTAATTTTTAATGTTTCAAGACCAAGTGGAGGGCAACCTGGAAAGCAAGGATTTATATCTTAAGTTGAGAATGTTGGGATACTGCCAGGGAGACAAAGTCCATCATGGCCCCACGTCGCCTATCAATCTCCCGTAGACACGCAGTATCAGCAATTAGCGACACGAGCTTCAGAAATAGCTTGCATTCCAGGGCTGGTGCACGCTCTTATCAGCAGATAATGCACAACAGAAGATGCATGCAGGAGAGCATAATTTATAAGTTTATTCTGCGTTAGTCAGAACAGAGAAAAACATGACCGCCTGCTTCAGCGTTCAGGCAGCGAGAGAGAAAACGAAAGCAACAGAAAACATAAACATCCTGTGAACAGGAAACACGCAGAATCACAAAGCCTGCTCCCTTTTAAGGTGGAACGGAAATATCCTAACAGAGAAAACAGTGTATGAACCACTATATTTGATTGTGTATATGCACAGGTTATATGTGTATAAATATAAACACAGTTTCTGACAAATACATCTCAGAGATAGATAGATTAATTAGTTTTACAACTTCATATTGTTTTTTGATTTCAATTTAGCAAGCTGCCATACATCCCAGGTTACTGTTTTTAATTAAAACCAATTATCAAGTCCTTCATCCTTCTTTCCCTTTTCCTTTGAAACGAACTTAGTCATATCTATCCAGATTTAGACTGAAAAATGTTTTCCACAGCCCAAACATTTCAAGTTCTTCCATTCACAATCTCCCTTCCTGGGGCTTTTGGGCCAACTGAGGAAGTGAAAAGCAAGACTGCAAATCATGGTTCTTTAATCTTTGTTTCTAGTTCATCCACTTCCAACTATTAAGTTAGCATTTAGTCAACATACCAGTAGAATAATATCTGTGTTCAAAGTAACCACGGCATCCTGATTCCTCTAAGGTCAATCGCCAGGAGTTAGTAATGATTTAGAACTGTGTTGTCTTCAGTCTAAAAAGCTATTTAAAATCCACAGCAATGTCTTTATTAGTCCCATATGAGGACCCGACCTCTCAGCAGTCCATTTGAAAAGCACAAAGTTTTCCAAAGAAAGGGTTGAGCCCTTGAGTAGATATAAACATGTTGGAGATACAAAGGACACAGTTTGAAACAGTTTTCAACAAAGTTGGTGTGATGCTAACAGAGGTTTTCTCCCATTTTATTATCCGTAATTTATTCACAATTGTCTCATGGCACCACTGCAGCCACATTATTGCACCCTTCTGCAAAATGAAACCACTTGCAGCATGACTTGTATTAATTTGGCTGGATTTAGAAAACAACTATCATCTGAGTCATACACATGGAGGAGACAGAGGAGGCAGTGCCTTGCCTGCTCACCTGTCACACCTGTCCTGCCTTCAGTGCTCCAGGATGTCCACACAGGGGACTAATATCTGAATAGCTCTGGTGTAAGTAAAATCCAATATACAATGGATTGTGTGGTGGATCACGAGTTTTTCCCCCTGAAATAACTGAACACGTGAAACCGAATTGGTGTTTCCTAAGAAGTAACAATTAGGGATGCGGGTGGTGCTGTGGGTAAAACCTCAGCGCCTAGGACTTGCCGATCGCATGGTCGGCGGTTCGAATCCCTGCAGCGGGGTGCGCTCCCGTCGTTCGGTCCCAGCGCCTGCCCACCTAGCAGTTTGAAAGCACCCCCGGGTGCAAGTAGATAAATAGGGACCTCTTACCGGCGGGAAGGTAAACGGCGTTCCGTGTGCTGCGCTGGCTCGCCAGATGCAGCTTGTCACGCTGGCCACGTGACCCGGAAGTGTCTGCAGACAGCGCTGGCTCCCGGCCTATAGAGTGAGATGAGCGCACAACCCTAGAGTCTGGCAAGACTGGCCCGTACGGGCAGGGGTACCTTTACCTTTACCTTTAAGAAGTAACAAATGACTGGAGATGTTTTCTTGAATATTTATCTGTATGGTAGAGTCTACTCTGTAAACAGTGATGCAATAGAAGAAAGAAAGCAGTTGGAACGCTGACCCTAGCGCTGACCTCTGGACTCCTCACTGTTCAAAGAAGTGGGGAGCACTCAACTGTTATGTCGCTGAAGTAGTGTCAGAGATGTTTCTCAGTGATATGATCCTCCCATGTTATTTTGGTAGCATATGTAATGATGTTGGGCTCTTTCATATGCCAGCGTTGTCTGTAAGAAGAAAGCACATGGCTTATGATTCTGAATGTTACCAGAGTGGTGTTGGACTGGACCTCCAAATGTACATAAGAGCATAAGGCTAAGGGTCTATCCAATCCAATACAGCATCTTGCTCCCCTCCTGGCCAACCAGATGCCTATGGGAAGCCCACAAGCAAGACCTGAGCACAAGAGCATCTTCCCCATTTGCAATTCCCATATTGTCTCCAACAGTGGAGGGAGATTGTAGCCAGCACTGCAACTCTGGCAGCATACTGATGGGGCTTCATATTCCTTCATATTTCCAAAAATCTACTAAAATGAGTTCACACTGACCCTCTCTTCTTTGAGGAAAAACTTGTTAACATAATCTCGTTAAAAACAAACTGCAGTATAAACCCAGGGTTATGATTATTTAAAGATTTCTACCCCTATCAGAGCAATATGATGGGGCTGAAGTGCCCCTCTCCAGAACAGCTCTATGGGAATAAATCTGTTGCCAATGATGTTCCCACATGAGGTAATGGCCGAAACAAGGCATTCCATGGCCATGCTGTTACCAGCCCTAGATCAAAAGTCCCCTGTGCTCACAGATTGGACCCTCAGTAACCTAGCCTGCTGCTGGCAATACTTAGCTTCTCTCCCACTGGTGTCAATCGGATGGGAAATTATTCGGTTAAAAAAAATACCAGCTGAGATAAATAAGCAGCAAAATCACCACCTCAACTCCTGCCCTGACTAGATTTAGATAGCACAACAGGGAATTTGTTTGTTTGTTTGTTTGTTTGTTTGTTTGTTTGTTTGTTTGTTTACTAGTCCGCCCTTCCTGCCCAAACAAAGACAAACAAAATTTAAAAAAAACAGTTAACTTATAATTGCTCTGTAAGCTGTTCAGATAAGAAAAACAGCATTGATTTGACCTGCTCAGTAAAAATATGCAATGCCACACAAGGGATAGAGGCTGGATGGTGCCAGAAAAATGATGAGTATCTTTTCCCTTCTTTTTTTGCAGATTTCTGCTATCCAGTGTCTTTCACATGCATAAAGTGATAGAAATTCAAAAGTCACCTTTGCATTTCAGTGACATTTCTTACTCTCTGCAAGAACTTCATTATGAATATCTGACTAGGTCTGCCAATATTAAATCCAATGTTAGTAAAGCTTTTACACTGATGTAATTAACTACTTGATCTTTGATATTGGACAGAAGAAAATGCAATTGACATTAACAGCAGCGAGTAAAGATGTGAACAAGTTACAGAGAGTGAGGAAAATCTAATATTGGCCATCTCTGCTAAGTACAGATGTGAAGTTTTAATAGAATGCATTGTTTTTGACAGGAGAGGTCTGAATGTAGTATCATATCTAGAAAAAAATACAACACAGTGTTCAGCCTTCTGTTCTCAAGCATGAAGCCAAACTTTGGATTTGTAGATGTGCAGAAATGTGCCATATTCATTGATCTAAATTTGATTGTTACCAAATTTACAAATTAAAAAAAGAGGGGGGGGACTGGATTTAGATTTGGAGGCATGGCTCTGATTCAGAGCAGAAAATATATAAACATACGAATACTGCAGATAGAGTTGAATAATATCTGAGTTTTTAGGCTTTTCTTCCAGCCTTATGCTAAAACATGGTCCAAATTTAGTTTTTGCAGGCATGGCTAAGCTGACATATTTTCATAGATATTAGGAAGGAAAACATAGACAAGAATTCTTGATAAAGTTAACAGAACATTATTGACTATACTAAAAGATAGGGTTCATTACCAGAATTGAGTTATGGATTTACACTTTTGATGATCAATCAATAATTAGTAAATAGCTTGAGATATAAGTACAATGATGATCATCATTGTTGTTTTTCTTCTTGTTATCCTTGTCTTGTAACCAACAACCTTTGAACTGGGCTACATATGAAAGATTAACATACATGGGACTTACTGAGAAATTTTTTCTTCTTTGTTGATTTATTTAACAGAGCTATGGGTGTCTGGGTTGCGGGTGGCGCTGTGGTCTAAACCACTGAGCCTAGAGCTTGCCGATCAGAAGGTCGCGGTTTGAATCCCCGCGACGGGGTGAGCTCCCATTGCTCGGTCCCAGCTCCTGCTAACCTAGCAGTTCGAAAGCACGTCAAAGTGCAAGTAGATAAATAGGTGCCGGTCCAGAGGGAAGGTAAATGGCGTTTCTGTGCGCTGCTCTGGTTTTACCAGAAGCGCCTTGGTCATGCTGGCCACATGACCAGGAAAAGCTGTCTGTGGACAAACGTCAGCTCCCTCGGCCAGTAAAGCAAGATGAGCGCTGCAACCCTAGAGTCGTTCGCGACTGGACTTAACTGTCAGGGTCCTTTACCTTTACCTTTTTTATGGGTGTCTAGCTGGCTTTCTTTCTTTCTTAGTCTTAATTATCAAATTGTTCATAATCATGCTGTTATGGAATCTTGCAAAATTTAATAGTAATAATGATTTTAAAAATAAATTAATTTGGTCTTCTGAAAACCCGGTTTTGGTAAATTAAGCACTGTTACTGATGACCAGCCCATTAGCACATCTTAAGAATAGTTGATGGTCAACCTTCCACAGGAGGTATATGCAGGAAGTCACCCTCTCTGTTTGTTCCACACTTTTCAGTGCCCTTCAAGACCCCTGCTTCAATTTGTTGTGTGTGGTAGGCAGGATTCTCCAGGTATAAATCAACCTATGAGAAGGATCCGCAGTCATGAGCTGGCATTGTCTTGGATAAAATATCAAGGGCTTCATTTCATGTGGATTACTTTGCCAGAGAATTTCTTTGTGGGACCCTCAAATGTTTCCATCCCTTCTCCTTAGTTAGGTTGGCTCCCCTCCTGCCCTGCCCTACCCTTCTCCTTGTATTCC